CACCGCCTCCTCGCGTGACTCGTAGAAAACTGTTAGGGCATCTGATAATATAAACCCGAACTCGTTAGCCCGAACTCAGCCCAAAGATATTACAAACATGCCAGATAATACCCAAGATGAAGCTCCTGCCACTGGAGGCAGAAGATCGTCTAGACCGATGCCATTGCCAGGCTCTCGAGGAGCTCCTAACTTTGACAAGGAAAAACCCATTGAAATGTTGAGATTCATTGACCAAATGGAGGACTTGTTCAAAGAGCATGGTATCGATGATGATCAAGAAAAGAAGAAACAGTTAGGAAGGTATACGGACCAGATGACGGAATTTGAATGGCGAGCATTTGACACGTTTGCTCCCGAAATTGAATACAAGGAGTTTAAACAGGCGTTGATCGATGACTATCCAGAGGCAAAGAATGCTGGAAAAGGAACACTAGCAAATTTGAGAAAAATTTGTAATGACCATCAGCGCATTGATATTGATGACATTGTTGCACTTAAAAGCCTCACTAGAGGTTTCCGGGCAGAACAAAAATTACTCTTGGTGCCACCTGCCTTGGTGAGCAACAGAGAATTGGTAGAACTGTTTTTAGGATGTCTAAGGGATAGTTTCCGAGGACAAGTGGAAGGAAGTCTCAATATTAAGCTTTCCCGAGACAAAGGAAAAGCTGTCGATGGAAAAGAACGCCGTCCAGAGGATCCATATGCCATCCTAGATGTAATTGAAATGGCTGAGACTATTGCAGGACGTGCACAAGGGATTAGCTCTTCAAGTGATAACCGGGTTGGTGTCAATACGACAGAAACACGGACAACACGAGAGCATCACACGCATAATACACCGGCACATAGTGTTAAGCTAGAAGATGATATCCGAGAATTAAACCAGAAAGTGGCGTTACTCATGGATAAAATTACATCGAGTGAAAAAGCACAGATGAGCGCTTTCCAAGCGTCTAGACAAGAAATGAACAAATTAACTGAGACGTTAATGACCCAGCATGTTACCTCGGCACCCACCATGAGGCAGACACAGCCTACTTGGAGAATGGGTTCAGATGGATGCTGGTACTGTGAAGAAACGGGGCATTTCGCAATGAATTGTCCTCATAGGGAAGAACATATTAGAACGGGAAAAATTAAAATGTCCGGTCATAAGATGTTTTTCGCGCTCACAGGACAACCAGTACCTAGAGGGACAAATGGGAAGTCTGCTAAAATGATTGTTGAGGAAGCTAGCAATAAAGATATGATGGCGCAAAGCAATATGTTTGCATCGCCTGGAGAAATTTACACACAGAACAGCGGAGAGCCAGGTATCGTCCAGTTGGGAATAGATGCTCGAGTTAAATCAGTATACACCAACCAGATTAGAGATTCGAGAGATGATCTTTTAGATAAAATGGCTACTCGAATTGATACGCTGTTGGGTAATAAAGTGCCGGCACAGGTGGCACGTCCATCGGCACAAGAAGTTGACATAGTTAACAATATGAAAAACATTCTGTCATATTTTGAGGAACAGCAAGGTCAAGGTCAAGAAGCTGCAAGTTATGTAGCTACTAGACGCAGTCAAGCTGATACTCAGGGACAGCAGGGTTTCTCATAGGTTCAAGGATTGAGCGATCTGGTAGGAATGCGGCCAATACCAGAAGTAAGAAAGCTCTTGAGAACCAAACTAAAGCTAAAAACCGCAGACAATTAGCAGAATTCGAAGATTCTGATGATGAGCAAGAAGAAGAAATTGAAGAAATGGAGGAAGAAATTCCGCCTGTAGTAATTAAAGAAACCCAGAAAACTATACCAAAACCGAAAGGGAAGCCTAAACCACTTCTCCCAAGGGATGATGAAGAAGAGGATCCAGTGCCTAGGCATAAACAGTTACCATACTTAAATATTCCTGACCTGAATGATCCTAGACAAAAAGAAGAAATAAAGATTGATAATTTTGAGCCAATTATTGATACTGAGAAAAGACCTGTTTCTTATAAACACCAAGCACCAATTGAGAATGTGACACATGAGAGAGAGGCTTTAGCGAATCTCTATAATGCCCCAGTTACACTGACGGCAGAGACTTTGATAAGCATTTCCCCAGGTATTAGACATGACTTAATTAAAGCTTTATCTAAGAAAAGGATGCCAGTACAACAAGCTCAAAACCGAAAAGTTACTATGATGGAAGAGCCTGACGTTGATGCGGTACCGTTAAAACCTACAAAATTTGAATTGGAGGCAGACGCGATATCTATTAATGATTTAAATATAAAAGCGGCTTTTATAGTGACAACAAGAGATGAAGGAAATGTGCCAAAAGGGTCTATCATAATCAGTGATCCAGTAGCGCAATACCTGCAGAGTTTAGGTCCGTCTGAGAAACCGAAACAAATCTATGTTGCAAAGGAGTCTCATGCATTACGAACCGTCTTCCCAGTAATTAATAGAATGGGACAGATTGAATGTTTGTTAGACGCTGGTTCTCAAATTATTGCCATGGATGTGGAAGTGGCTAAGAAATTGGCCATCTCATGGGATCCAGACATAAAAATTCAAATGCAGAGTGCAAACAGGACAGTTGAACAGACCCTGGGTCTTGCTAAAAATGTACCTTTTATCTTTGGAACTATAACAGTATACTTACAAGTCCACATCATCACTGACCCAGCATATAAAGTGCTATTGGGCAGACTGTTTGATGTATTGACAGAGAGTACTGTACAGAATTATAAAGACGGGGGACAGACTCTTATCATAGCGGATCCTAATTCAACACAACGATGTGTATTACCTACACACGAAAGGGGAAGACCACCTGTTATAATGAAAGCAGAAATTCCCAAGCCATCTGAGGATTTTCGGTCTTCGATGAATTGATCGAAGATCAAGGAGAGATCGCTGTAACCTTGATAGATGATGGTAATGATGGTTTTGAATGCGAGTCATATACATTACCAGGGAAAGGAAAATTTGAGCAAGAAGAATTAAGAAATCTTTACTTGCTCCAAACCTTGAGAAATGAAAAACACATAGAAGAAAAAGACCGTCCTGCGCTTATAAGTTACTTAGGGAAATATTTCTCTGATGTAAATTTAGAGTCGGGGGGGATCCAAAATGTTGAAACCATGATGAATGTCATTTATGACCATGAGGACAAAGCAGCACCTAAGGAAAAGAAAGAGGATCCTGTAGAGACTAGAGAGACTTTTGTCACAAAGAAATACAAGCCGGTTGCACAGAAAATCAGGCCAGTATACCAAGACCTCCCAGATAAATTCAGAATAATTCGTGATATTAAAGGGAATCCTCTTGACACTCTCCCAAAGTTGAACAGGACACCTCCTGACTTTGTACCCACGGGACGCTACACTGAAGAGAGAAAGGAACAATTTGACAAAGTCCACAGTGGTGACTTTTTGTGGCCAGAAGAACGAAAATTATTACACCATTTTATGATGGAGAATAATGAGGCTTTTGCATGGGATGACTCTGAGAGAGGAAGATTCAAACCAGAATACTTCCCACCTGTAGACATTCCTGTTATACCACATACACCCTGGGTATTGAAAAATATTCCTATCCCACCAGGATTATTCTCAGAAGTATGTAAAATCATTAAGACAAAGATAGATGCTGGGGTTTATGAACCTTCAAATTCGTCTTATAGATCAAGGTGGTTTTGCGTCTTAAAGAAAGACGGAAAAAGCTTGCGAATTGTACAAAGTCTAGAACCTTTGAATGCAGTCACAATAGCACACTCGGGCTTACCACCTGCAACAGATGCA